TTGATGGTTACGATTTGGGATTTTAGGAGGAATAAAAAAAAATTAATTTTCTTCCTTTTCATTAAAATAATCTAAATATTATTATTATTTACATGTTTAAATGCTTTTTTTGTATTAAAAATTAATATTTGTATTATTTTTTTATATTTATAAATTATTTGTAGTTTAAGCTAATTTTTAAATTTAATTTATGTATTCTCCTCTATTATTTTCAGATTATATTTTGTTAATATCTAATAATAGATTAATTTTTTTATTAAATTATTTTTTATTTAAATTTTCATTATTTGATAATATTTTTTATATTTCGTTTTAAACTTTGTGTATATTATCAATTTCTGAAAATGCTTTTATGCTATCTTTTTCTTCTCTTTGATTTTAGGGAGTTTATAATTTCTTTTTTTTATTTCTATAGTTTTTTTATTGTTTTAAAAAATGGCTTATTTAATAATATTGGGTTTAGTTTATATTATTTAATTGATTTGGTCTCAATAATGAAACTGAATATGAGTGCTGAGAAGGTTTTTATAATGATCTTGTTATTGAATTACTTTTTATTTATTCATTTTGTTGAAAATAATTATCTTCTTGAATATTTTAAGGATATATTTATATATTATGTTATTCTTATGTAATTTTAGTTTTCGCTTATTACGGAATTATTTACTTTTATATTTTTAAAATATTTATGTCATTTTCTGATTACTATTTATGAGATTTTATTTATTAATTCAATTTTTAGTCTATCTTTGCTCTTTAAAATGTTATTATTTTTTTTAGTGATTAGGCTGATGATTAACCTTTCATATTTATATTTTTTATTGAATTTACTTTTTATATATATTATAAATAATATATATATGTATTATTTTATTTTTTTAATAGTTTTTTATATATTAGAAGAAAATTAATTAATACTTTATAATATAAATATATATATATTAAAATAGTTAAGTATATTTATATATTTTTTAATAAATTTATAAAACACTATAACTTTTAAAATTATAAATTTATAATAAATAATAGTTTTAATTTACAATGTATACTTTAATTATTTTTTTAATTTATTTACATTAAATTTATTCCAATAAATTAAAATTTTATTTTTTAAAAATAAACTATTTTTATATTTTTATTTTTTCTTAACGGATTATATTGTATATAAAAAAAAGTACATAATAATAAAATTTCTTTTTTAAGTGAAATTCAATTTAAATGTAATTAAATAATAAATTTTAAGATGAATTAATATTTTTTTTACAAAAAATTTAATTATATAATTAAATTAATTGCTTAAATATTTATATATTGTATTCGTAAAATCTAATTAGTATATCTAAACATACAAAAAAAAAGGGAAATTTTCATGAAAAATAAAATATATATATATACACACATAATTAATATAAAATTAAATTAAGTTTTTTTACATACATAAAAAAAAGATACAGTATAAAACAAATTATACAAATAAACAAAAATCATTTTTTTTGATTTTATTTAGAGGAAAAGCAAGGAATACAACCTTTTTTATTATTTGTTTTAAGAATTCCTTTACTTTTTGATATTTGAGTTTTTTATATATGTACTATATTTGTTTAAGCCCATTTATTAATATTAAAAGTTAAATCAATTTGCTATTTATATTTTAAATTATGAATAATGCAAACTGTATCTAAATATCTTAAAGTAGATTATTATATTAATTCTTAAAAAACTTCCATAATTTCATTAACACTACTAATAATTATATCCGAAACATAATTTGTTGTACCTGGATAAATAACGTCTTTTTCAAAAGTCATAAACATAATTCTATTTTATATATTTTACAATAATTCTAATATTTCTTTCCAAATAACTCCATATTCTTATATCATCTAATTTTTTTGTTTAATTTCCGCAAGACCTCCTAAATATTCTACTAAACGTATATTTTGAGCTTTTTCTACTATTAATAAAAACTGTTTTTTATATTTATCTATAAATTCATAACTGTTCAATATTTGTTAACTTAAATTTGAATTTGAATTTATTTATTGTACGTTTGTAATGTTATTTGGAAAGGTTAATGTTTCTATTTATAATGGCTCTTTTTTGCTTATTAATGGGTGTATTTTATTATTTTAGTTATTTTTATTGATATTATTCTAAGATTTTTATAATTATTACATTTTTTTATTTTTTTTTATTTTTTTAATAAATATATATATTTATTAAAAGGTGTTATATTTTATGATTTAATTTATTTATTTTAATATTATATAATTAGTTTCTTTTTTATATTGTTATACATAATTCTAATTTTAAAATATTTATTTTTATTTTAAAAATTATGTATGTTATTTAAATACAAAAATATTTAATAATAATTATATTTTTCCTAAAAAAAAATATTAATTTAAATTTAAATTTAATTAAATTTTTATTTAAATAAAATAAGAAAAGTTTAAAATATATTATTTTATTAATGTTCATTATTATAAAAGATTATATTATTATGAAAATTAATAATATAAAAAATATTTTTTATAATTAATATTTAGTTTTCTAGTAAAAATGTATAACATATAAAATATTGTTTATAAAAATAATTATTTTAACTTATTTATTTATTATAATAAATATTTAAAAAATTTTATTTTTCTTAAATAAATATGAAGAATACTCAATTATTAAATTATTCTTTATTTTCTTATTATACAATTTTTTAAGGAAAATATTAATAAAATACTTCTTCGCTAATATTAAATTGCTTAAAATGTCTTTTTAAATAATAAAATTAATGAAATATAAAAAATATACTTTAATAATTTATCTAAATCATCTGTTTTAATTTATCTAAAATTTTTTAACTATTAAATTTTTCATTTTATAATAAAAGTGCATTTTAACTTTTATATAAAAAATACAATGAAAAAAAAAATATATTTTATATTAAAATATATAAATATTTAACGATGCAATATTTCTAATTAAGTTAATATTTTTCTTTTATTATTTTAATTTTTTATCTATATTTTTTTATTTCATCATATAATTATTCCATTTTTCTTACTTTTTTAATAAAAAAGAATTTATAAGAAAATTTTTATACATATATATAAATATATATATAAATATATATATATTTATATATATATATATTTATTTATTTTTATTTATTTATATGATTATTTTTATACTGTTTGTAAAAAAAGAGATGAAATTTGAGATTTATTTCTTTAACTTTATTATGTTCTATTAAATTATTTATTTGCTAAAATTTCTTCTATTTACAACTTATATAAAAAAATAAAAAAATTATTTGAATTAAAATATAAATACTTTTCTATATTCTATTAATTCTGTTTTTTATTTTATTTTTTAATTAATCTACTAAAAGTATAAACTTTATATTTATATATGTATTTATTTAAAAATACATTATTAAATAATTGTTTTTAATATATTATATTTATATATATGTATATATATATATATATAATATACTTTTCTGTTTATTTTAGTACTTATTAATTTTATAATTATTTCATTAAAAATTTTTTTCTTTTTATTTAAATTCTTTTTAATTTTCATCTTTATCTTTATATTTATATTTATCTATTCCTTAAACTTAGACTTAATCTTTATTTTTATCTTTCTATTAAATTTTAGCATTTTTTTTATCCAAATCTTATTAATGTTATTCATAATTTTTAATTAGACTTTTGAATTTTTCTTATTGTTTTTAATCTTCAATTTATCTTGCAATAGCTAATTTATCTAGTTTTAAACTATTAAAAAGCTATTAATTTCTAACCCTTTAAGACCAGTGCTCTTTCATTAAAAAATAAACCTAATTATCTCTCTAATCTAACTACTGCCTTAATTACTCACTTTTTAATATTATTTTTTCGTCGACTTTTTCCCTAAAAGTTTTTGCCGAATTCGCACTTCTCGTAAATGATAAAACTTTAGATTTACTTTCTTTTACTTTATTATATATTTAGTTCTATTTTAAGTACATTTCTTTAATTTTTTGCATGTCTTTTTATAAATTTTATTAATGTGAAATTTTTATTTATTATTTTTTAGCTCTATGTTTCTAATTTATTATTTTGACATTTTTTAACTATTTTTTTTTTTAATTCTTTTTATTTATTTTTATTTTAACTTTTTCGTCGAGTTATTTTTTTATTGTTTATTCTACTCTTTATTATTTTTATTCTATACTTTGATTTTATTTTCTGAGTAAAAATTCTTATCTTATTTCATTTTAGATTTAGAACTTTATTTTATAAAATATATAATAAATATAAAATGTAAATATAAATACTCCATGAATATTCACTTCTTTTTCGTGTTATGAGTTTACTTTTTATATTTAATAATCTATATTTAAATGGTCTAAATATTGACTTTTTTCTCTATTAGATTTATTTAAAATTTTTCTAGAACTATTAAACATAATTTATAAAAAAATTAAATTTCATAAAAAAAAAATATAAATTTACCATCCTTCAGCTGTTTTTCGGAATTAATAATTATTTTATTAAATTAATCGTTTTCTTTCTTAAATAATTCTTTTTAAATTAGCTATTTAATTATATTAATATAATGAAATGAATATTGTTTTTTTTAAAACTATGGACTAATTAAAGGTGTTAATAATAATATTTATAAGGGTCATCAATTTAATATTTTTATATTTATTTTGTTTTTAAAGCTAAACTATTATATTCACTTAATTTCTAAAATTGAAAAAAATCTCTGAAAAAAAACAAATAAAAATATATAAATATATATAAATGGCAAAATATTTATAAATTATATATTATATATTTTATATATTTAAAATTATTTTTTTTATTTACTTTAAAGTATATTAATCTTATGTTAATTTTAATAATAATACTGCTGTCTTTGTCCTTGGAGAATCAAAATTAATTTTCTATTGATCTTCTCTTATCTTTGAATGATATTTTCTTAATGATTTTTGTGGATTCTATTAATACATTTCATCTAAGATTTATTAAGTGTTTCTTTGATAATTTTCCTTTAATTTATTATTAAAATTACTTTATTTTTCTCTATTACTGTATTGTATTTTTCTTATTCATTTATTTCGCTTTAAGTTATGAATGCTAAATTCTATTCTGTATTCATCTTATTTAAATTTTATTTTATTTTTTTTGTTTTTTTACTTTCAAAAATAAAAAAATATATAACTTTTTAATTAATAAAAAAAAAAAAAATCTATAAATTAAAATATTGATTTTTTATATAAATTTGTAATTATAAAATATTATTTTATATATTTTTATAATTTTTCAAGCTAATAAATATAAATCTAATAATGATAAATACAATAAATATAATTTATATACTTTATAAATTAATATCTATAATAATTAATAATATATTTTTTTTTCTTCTTTAATAAAAATGTAAAAAAATTTGATATTAATTACAATAAAAGAATAAATATTATAATTTCTTATATTTAAGAAGTTTTTTTATATTTATATAAAATTATACAAAAAATTAATATTTCTTTAAATGTGTCTATATTTAGATATATATCTTCTCAAAAATTTTCATTTTTTTTATTATTATTATTATTTTAATCTAAAGTTATATTCGCTTAAGAAATATGTATTTTACTTTCACATTCACTATATTCATCTATTTTTTTAAAATGCTCGAGACTTTTATTTATACTGTAAAATTAGCCTTATTATGTTTATTATTTAGGCATAATTTTATTACTTTATTAATTGAAAAGACTTTAAGAAGCTGTATTTTTTAATTATTTTGCAATATTGGAATTTTATTTTTATAAAGCAGAGACACTTTTACATATTTGTTTTTTACTTTCATTTATAAAAATTTCATTTTATGCTGATTTTGTGGATTAAAAATTTTTATCATATTTTATAATATTTTATATATTTTCAACAATATTATTATTACTATTAAAATTATTATTTTAAATTTCTATACTTTATTAAAGATCTATTGAATTTCTATTTTACTTAGTATATTAGTATTGATTTTAATTATTTATAAATTTGGAAGCTTCTGAATTTTTCCCATAAAAAGAATTACTATTATTATTTAAAATTTCCTTTTGATTTACAAGATTGTTTTAAGCCGCATCACTTATTATACGGCTATTATTTGAATGTTTTATTTTTTAATTTTATTTAGTATTTAAATATTATAAACTATATTAGTTATTATATAGTTATTTTCTTTTCTGATTTAATGACTTTTATGAATTATTATCATTATTTATTTGATTTTAATTCAAATTATTTATATTATTATTATTGTTTATAATTTCACTAATATTATTTGGATTATTACTTGTATTATTTATATTAGAATATTATATTATAAAACTTTTATTTTTACTACTCATACTCTTATTGCTTTTACTTTCCTCTTTTATATTTTTAATAAATTAAGTTATGGTTGTATTATGCATATATTTTGGGTTTACTTCGAATTTTTTACTATATTTTTTCATGTCTCGATCGTTTTCTTCAGTTATTTCCATTAGTTTAACTATTAAATTATCATGATAGTTATTTGTTAATTCTAATTTTCGGTTATTTTGTTATTTTAAATGTGGTTCTTATTACTAATATAATTAGTTAATGTTATCCATACTTTATAAATTCATTAAAGACTGAGTATTTTATAAAATATTTGCTAATTTTTATTTATTTTGATACTAGTCAATGTCGAAAGAACTTATTCTTAATCGTTCCTATTAGATACTATAATCTAAAGATTAAAATTATTATTATTACTATTATCTTATTTTACTTGGAGTTTATAATTAGTTTTCTAGTTTTTAATTAATTGCTGATATTTTTTATTAAGGAGATAAAATTACAAACTGTTCATTATTATTTGTTTTTTCATTTATTAAAATATCATTTATATTATTATTTATTAAAATGTCATTTATATTATGATTTTATATTTTATTATTAATATTTATATTATTATTATTATTTAATTTACTATTATTTATATTTATTTAATTTATATTACTATTATTTGCCTAAATACTAATACTATATCCACTTATGTTTTATTAATGTATTTCTTATAAATAATGGCTTATATTTTGTTAATTTTATTATGTATTATTTACTTGTAATTGTATATTATTATCAATTGTATCGTTATGTTAATTTTTTAGGTTTATTGAGTTGACTTTTAATTTTTAATAAACTTAAAAATCATGGTCTTCGTATAAAATATTATTTAATTGTTAATTTATTATATTAAAGTTATTTTGTTCGATAACATTTTTTTTAATATCAATTTTTTATAAATTTTATTAATTAATTTAACTATCTAAACAATCTTAATCAAAGCTATTTTTTTAAAAAAAGGAGTGTTTTTTCAAATTGTTATATTAGTTCTGAATAGAATTTATAGGGCTTTTTTATTAATCTTGAATTATATTATTATTATTATTATTATTTTATTATTAAAATATTTAAACAGGTTAATTAAAATCGTCATCTTATTCTTATAAATTAATATTAATATTAATATTAATATTATTATTATTATTATTATTATTATTATTATTTTAATATTATTATTATTGCTATAATCATCGTTTTCATTTTAATTTTCAATTTTATTTTCAATTTTATTATCATTTTTATTATCTTCATTATTATTATTAATATTTTTATTATAATCATCATTTTATTTTTTATTTTAAATTTTATTATCATTATTAATATCATTATTTTTTTCATCAAATGAATTTTGATTATTATTTTTTTTATTTATTGTTTAATTTTATTTATTAAGTATTTACCTATTTTTATTTTCAGGTAATGAATTTATATCAAAATTTTCGTTTTTTTATATTTCATTGCTATTTATATTTTTTAGGCTCATAAAATCTTTTTATAATTTTTTCAACTTATTTATAATTCTTTTTTTATAAATTTTAACAGGCCACTCATTTATTTGAAAATTATAATTTTTTTCATATTTATTATTATCTTTTTATTATAAGTCATCATTATAATTTATTTATTAATTGTTAATATAATCATTATTTAATTACAAATCATTTTTATTATTATTATCACTTTTTATATTTTACTCTTATTATTAGTGTGTATCTTAATCTTCTAGATTATTTTTTTCCTTTTCATTTTATTTTTCTTATTCTACTTTTTATTATTAATTATCCTCATTTAATATTTATATTGGTTTTTGTGTATTTTGGTTATTATCAATATCTGTTATTTAATATGAATTATTTTCTTGATTTAATTAATTGATTTTGGTCATTAAATATTAGTAATGTAAATTTTTATTTTTCGAATTTAGATGTATAAAATAATATGAATAAAGATTTTAATTTTCATTAATATTTTTTTCTTTTATATATTTTTTTGTATACTTAACAATAAAATTTTTTGAAATTTTTATTTTTTTTGCATTTTAAAATAATACATCAATATCAATAAATTCTTTATGTAATTTATTTTGCCAAATATCACAATTCTCATCTTTTATTTCTTTCAAAAACATATGAAAATCTCCATACTCCATTTCTTTTAATCTATTTTCTTATGTTTTTATAATTTATAATGATAAACTTAAAATTGAAAAAACAGAATCTGCACTAATAAAAAAATCCCAGAATCTTATAGTTTATTATAAAGGAAAATTATCTAAAAATATAACTAAAATCCACTTCCAAATCCACTCTTCATCATAAATTCTCTATTCTTAAATATGCTTATATAACTCTGGCATGATTTTTTTAAATTTTTAATTAAAAACATACTTTAATAAATCCAAAAGCTGAAAATTTCTTTCATATAATCCCATAATTAAATATTTCTCAGATTTTGCTAAACTGACAAAAAACCAAAAAGCTTCCTCTTCCTTCCCTCCATTAATAGCCAAACAAAATCCTACGATAAAGTTCATTCCTTGAGTATATCCTATATTAGGAAAATAATTCGATAAAGCTTTCAATACTCTAAATAATGATTCTTGTCCTACAGGTTATTCCTATGTATCTCCTTAATTCGGATCTTAGAAATAATACATATTGGGAAAACTTCTACTTACATCTTTTCTGATTTAGTTTTGGAAAGAAGATTCTTTTTACAAAAGTTTCTCGTAAATACCTTTTTCGTAATGTTTTTGGGAATTTGTTTTTATTTTCCAGATTTCCCACCTGTATTTTTATGGAGGATCTTTTTCCAGATATTAATTTAATTTATTTATTTGCTTATTTAAAATGTTTGCAATTAAATATTTTTCTGTATTGGTTATTTATAAATCTTAATTTTCATATATTTGGCGTTTTTATTCTTCTGAAAGATGTATAAATTAAAGTTTGCCTTAGTGGAGAAATTACTCAAATTATTATTTTATATGGATGGCTTATTAGGGAGTTTTTTAAAAATTTTCTTGTAAAAAATATTCGCCTATTTAAAATTTCTTTTGATATTTTTACTAATCGTCAATAAATTGTTAACAACTTTAATTTTTTTTGGTGACGTATTTAGAATTTGCTTTATGCTGATTTAGTTCATTTTATTATGGTAGTTTTGCTTCTTTTTACTTTTTATGTCTTTTGAACACATACCACCTCCCATATTTTTGGTTTATTTTTTTTTATTTGATTTTTTATTATTATAATCAAATTTATTTAATTTTGTGTATTATTTTTTTGTTTTGTTTTTTTGTTTTGTTTTTTTATTTTTTTCTATTTTCTTTTTTATTTTTTTTACTTTTTTTACTTTTTTTTTTTTATTTATTTATTTTTTCTGAATTAAAAGCAAATATTTATTATATGTATGCATAATTTTAGTGTTGATAAAAAAATTTTTGTTATATTAATCTACAATTAATGCTTATGAAAAATAATTATAATTATATATAATAATAACTATAATAATAACTATAATTTATTTATAATTATAAAAAATTAATTTAATTATTATATTGATTTATAATTCTAATTTATGTAATAAAATAATTTTGTTAATTTTCATAATGATTTTTTTTTATAAGATTATTTATAAAAAAATTATTTAAAATATTGTTTATTAACAATTTTTATTTTTCAGTTAATTATTTATAGTATTAAAAAAATATTTATTATAATTGATTTATTAGTAATAGCTTATTAATTTAAATTAGAATTTTATTTATTTATTTTATACTAATAAAAAATAATAAATATAAATATGATTTTATTTATTATTAAAATATATTTATTTTAAATTAATAATAATATTAAGTCTATTTTAATAAAGCTTTTTGAAAATTAATCTATTAAATTTAATTATTAAATTGATAATTTATATATTTGATTTAAACGTTATGATTATTTTAATTTTTTAAAAGAATTCAGATCTTTTTTAAATAGAATAATAAAAATTTAAAAATAAATTTTCCATAAAAAATGTTATATTTTTTAAATTTTAATCTCTCTATTATATATTTTTTTTAATTAAAAAAAAAGCATATTAATGTTTGTAAAATTAAAAAAAAAAAAAAAATTAAAAAAGGATAAAAAAATTTTATAGTTTGTATATTGTAAATATATTAATAATAAATAATTTAATAAAAATGACTGAAAATCAAGATTTTTTTTAAACAAATTATAATTTTAATGATAATAATAATTTTCCTTATACCACATTACAAATGCAGTTGTTTTGTGATAACAACTAGTTTTTAAATTTAAATAAAAAGGATTAAAAAATATCAGAGTAATATTTTAATTATTTAAACCCTTAATCATAAGAATTTGTTTTATAAAATATTAATCAATACACAGAAGCAGGAATAGCATTTTTATAAACCAATAATATTAAAAACATCAAAAATGTTTGATTTATATTTTAAATATATTGCATTAATTTTTTTAATATAAAATAACATTTTTATTTTAAAAAATCTTTTCCTATATATATATATTTTTTTTTTTTTTTTAATAAATAATAATAGGCTTAAAAAATATTTGAATCAATTATAAATGCAAAATAAAATTAAGTAAATGCATATGTATTTTTAGGGAGATGTGCATTCCTATAAGAAGAATATAATAAATCTATTGAATATTATTTTTATGCGACATAAATTTCAGAACAAATTAAAGTTTATTAAAAAAAAAATTATAATGTATTTTTTTTTTAAAAAAAAAATAAAAACAATAAATAGAAAGACAATAATATTTGGTATTAAATAGCACTTTCATATTTTAAAGTAAAAAAATATATGTTATGAACTTTTTTTGATATATATGATATATATATTTTTATCAATTTGTTTTTTTTAATTTTAGAGCATATTAATTTTAGATATATTTAATATATTTTAAATTAAACAATATATTTATTATTAAAAAAATTAATTCTTAGATAGAATAATATTCATTTTCTGAAAAGATTTTTAAGTTTATTATTAATAATGATAAAGATTTTAATTAAAAATATAATATATATGAATATTTGGCAATAATAAATAAATACAATTATTAATATAAAATTGCTCTAGAAGTATTATATATACATATAAAAAATTAAACAAGTTATTTTATTCTATTTATAAAGTATTTTTTATTAGCATTAGAAAATCCTTAACAACAATCATAAAACATATCTTTGATTCTGGTAAATATAGGTCATTGTTTAGAATAATATTAAGAGGTAAATAATAAACTATATATATCTAAAAAAACAAAATTTAAGTATGATGAAGCTGCTTCATGTTATAATAAATCAATATATGTAGAACAAAACAATTAAGTAGCCTTAAAATCTATAAGTTGGTTATTTTTTTAAAACGGAAAAATAGTAAAAAAACATTAATTTTAAAAAATATTTTTATCTTTACTTCGTTTAGTAAGAATCCCTTGAAATATTATCTTCTATTCCTATAATCCATAATGATAGAGAAATATATTATATGTAATCAAGATATTATTAAAAATAAGGTAAATATAAAGAAGCTATATAGCATGTTATTTATGCAATATCTATTGAACCTTACAATTCAGAAAACTTTACTTTATTAGCAATAATATTTTGTGATTTAATCATGGTTTTTTTTTTAAAAAAAAATAAATATATATAATACATTTATTTATTATTATTATTTTTGTTAAAAAAGTATAAAGAAGCATTTTAAAGTTTCCAAAGAGCATATTAATTAGATACTTCTAAAATTGAAAACCTTTTCAATATAGCATTACTTTATGAAATAAATAAAAACTATACAGAAGCAAGAAATATGTATTTAAAATTAATTTAATTTGATCCTTAAGATTGTTTAGCTTTATAAAGAAAAGCATGTATAGAATCTGATAATTTTTAGAATCTTTCAGAATCATAGTATGAATAATAATTTATATGTATTTTATATTTTATTAATATTTTATTTTTAAGAAAAAAATCTATTTATTATATTATTTTTTTAAGGTCCTAAATGAGATTTCCAGAATTCAAACCAAATGCTTAGTTATTTAAAGAAAATAAAAAATGTTTTAATAAATTCAATAATAATAATAATAATATTCTTGATTTAAATAGCTTATAGTTTATTTAATAATTAAAAGCGAATATTTTAAATGATTAAAAAGATGAAATATAATGTTAAGAAAAGAAAAATAATTATATTAATAATATAAATGATTAAAATATAAATATTGAAAAAAATAATAAATACTCAATTATAGTATAAAATGATTATTTTAACCATAATATTAATAGTGGTTTAACTAATAAAAAATATTCGATTTCAGAAAATATTATTATATAAAGTAATAATCCCAATTAAAAAAATACATATGTTAATTAAAAACCTAAAGTAAGTGAAAATAATATAAATGAATTTAAAATAAACTAAAGCCTATGTAAAATTATATTATAATAATTCTTTTTTTAAATTTATTTTAAAATATTATAGATCATGATAATTAATTTTGTTTAAATTCAAGTCCGAAAAATGATAAAAATATGAGAAAAGAAAGTGATTTATTTTTTGAAAAATAAAGAAGATTTTCCCTTTTAAGTACTGAAAATGGAGGTTTTGGATATTTTAATCATTTTGGAGAAAAAAACAGGGAATCTGTTGATTTAAGTTGTATTTATAATAATATTTAAAATGAAATATTTGATTAAAATTATAATAAGTAAAAAAATAATAATAATAATAATGATAATAATAAAAATAATAATAATAATAATAATAATAACTAAAATACTAATAAGCTAAGTAATAAAAGCTTTAATAATTTATGATAAAGAATATAAGCTATGATTTTAAACCTAACATTTTATTTTTTAATTTTTTTCATTTAATTTTTTTTATGTATTGTTTTATCAAAAATAATATAAAAAGTTATAAATTTTATATTATATTTAATAATTATTAAAAAAATATAAAACTTTATTAATTATTTTTTAATATATATTTTAAAGATAAAACCCCCATAATATAAATATAAAACTAAATAATTCTCTTATATAATAATTTTTTTATATATTTTTAAATGTATTTATTTTTTTATATATATAAATAATATTGCTTATATTTTTTTCAAAATTCCTTTAATAATAAAGACAATTTTTTTTTTATTTACAAAATAAATATTTTATATATTATTTTTATTATTTCTAAAACTTTTATAAAGCACTTTTTTTTAGTACTTTTATAAAGCACTTTTTAAAATATTAAAAAAATATTTTTATTATTATACTTGAAAATACATAATATATTAGTTTTTAATTAATTTTTGTTATAAAAATAATCAAATTTAATAAAAAAAAAAATCAAAATTCAAAAGGTACAAAAATACATATAAATAGAAGAAAAAAAAAATAAAAAAATCAAATCGCTAAATAATAATTTATATATAAAAAAAAAAAATTATTAAAAAAAAAAAAAAAACATAAAATGAAATATTTAGCCGCTTATGCTTTATTAACCCTCGGTGGAAAAGAAAACCCTGGTAAAATATAAAATCATATTATTTAATTATGTTTATTTATCCAAAACTTTCTTCCTTATTTTTGCTTTTTTATTTTATTTTTTAATTTACTTTTCTGCCAATAAAAATAAATATTTAAAACCTTTTGGAGAACAAGAAATCTAAATAATAAAATTCAAAAATTCAAAAGAAGACAAAAAATAGATGAAAAAATAGATGGAAAAAAAAAAAATCAATAACAACAAAAAATGACAGAATTAACAAATATTAAATATGGAATCTGAAATTAATAATAATTAAATAATATTGTGAATTAATGAAAAAAAAAAAATAAAAAGAAAAAAAAAAACTCCTTTTAATAAACTCTTTAGCTCTTTCTTTATTATTTCTTATTCTTCTTATATTTTTTTATATTTTTCTTAAATATATATAATAATATAAACATTTTTTTTTTTAATTTTAGATGCCGCAGCAGTCAAGAAACTCCTCGAAACTGTTTCTGCTACTGTAGATGAAGCTAAATTGAATGCCGCTGTTAATGCTCTTAAAGGAAAAAAACTTGAAGACGTTATTTCTGCTGGATAAAAGAAATTAAGCACTGTTTCTTTCGGAGGTGCCTCTGGAGCTTCATCTGCCCCTGCCCCCTCTGCCGCTGCTAAAGCCCCTGCTAAAGAAGAACCTAAGAAAGAAGAACCCAAGAAAGAAGAAGAAGAAGATTATGATATGGGTGACCTCTTCGGTTGATTTTTATTAAAATATCGCATTTTTGCTTATTTATTTTTTTTAATAAAAAATATATTCTGTATTTTTTTTTATTTATCTGTTTTTATGTTTTAGGATTTTTATACATATTTAAATATTTTTATATATCTATATTTTTATTTTTTGATATATATAATAATTATATTAGATATTTAAATAATTTATAATATATATATAAAAAATTTGTATTTTTTAAATGCATATTATAATTAATTAATTTATATATATTTTTATATACTTTATATATATATATATATATATTTTATTTAACCGCTTATTTTTTATATCCATTTATTTCTATTTTTTTTTTTTTCGAAATGTAATTTAAAAAATTACTTCTTATATTATTTATAAAGATAAAAAAGATATTATGTGATCTTATTTATATTAATTATATATAAGAATAATATATATATATATATTATACTATTTTAAATATTTCTTATATATCGTTTTTTTAATATTACATAATTAATTGTTATTTTTATTTTGTTTTTGTTAAAAATATAAACAACTTTAATTCTTTTAAATAGTAAAAATAATTTAAAGAACCTTCATATAGTCTAAACAAAGTATATAGAAATTTTAAAATTTAAATAATTAATTTTTACATTGTAATGAAGACTTATTTTTAAATAATACCACAAATTTTAATAACTTATCATTTTTTTAATTTCTAAAAAGATTTTAATTATTATTAATACGATTTTATTGATTATTATATTAAACTTTAATATCATAACTATTTTTATTTCTATTTTATTAATAGCCTTAATTTTCTAATTTAATAAATTTATCTTAATTTAATATTTTATTTGGTTTAATAATGCTATAATAGTATTTTTTAGTTATTATTATTAAGAATATTTATTTAAATATTGATTTTTCAAAATTAGGATAAATTAAATGTTTTTTATAAAGTTTTTAATAATTTTTTTATCATTTTTATCTAATAAGTCTTGATATATTAAATTGTTTTGTGATATTTATATTTAATTATGGTTAGTAAGAAATTTCAAATATTTGTATTTATTTTTCTATAAATAATATTAATTTAATTTTTTGTATTTATTATAGTTTATTTAATATCTAAATTTATCTAAATCAATATTTATTAAAAAATTGTAAATTTTAAAATCAAAAAAAATACAAATAATTTATAATATATAAAAAAATAACCTTTTAAATAACTTCTTGATTTAGAATATTTGTAAATACTTTTTTAAAGTAAAACAAATATAAAAAATGTCAAAAATTATACTTTAATGATATTCCGAAACTAACTTATATTTCATATGTCATAAAAATTTTATTAAATTTATTTAAGGTTTTTTTATGTTTTTATTTTATTTTTTTATATTATAAATAATATTATGTAAATTTATAGTTTTTTTTGTTTTGGAAAGTGATAACATTTTTTATTAATCAAGTTATAATTGTTTATTATATTTTTTTTCAAATAAACAAAGAATTGTTTATTTTAAAAAAATTATCTTTCTATTATAAAATACTTTTTTTTATGTTATAAATATAATAAAAATTATTATTATTTTATATTAATTAATGATTATATATTATTTTTATTGTTTTTAAAATAAAATATGTTTAATATTAATTTTTTATTATATCAAAAATTTTTTTTGTTTTCATATTATAAATTAAAATATTTTTTTTATACAAAAATATTTATAATAAAATTAAAATATATATAAATTTTTTATAATTTAAATTAAATAATAAATTAATGTGAAATAATAATAATAATTTATATATATATACTATTCATAATTAACTAAAATTATGAATTTTAAGTAACTCAAAGAATATTTATTAATTTTTTTATTAAAATGTAATATATATAATATAATCGTAATAAAAAAATGCAGCGAAGCAAAATCTTTATATATGCCTGCAATATTAAAGTCATCCACATATCCAAATAAAATTTTAAGAATAATACATCCCGATATTAAAAAAATCTAAAAAATTAGTTATCAATTAATACTTAGATATATACATAAATTAAATATTAATAAGTATTTAATATTTATAGGACTAAACTATTATTTTGTTTGTGAATAAAATAATACATGTGTTCTTATCTTCTGTTTTTAGTTATATTTAATATTTTTTTAATTGTTTTTTTATTAAATCACTTTAAAAAGCTACGTTTTTTTTATTGAGAGTTTTATGGAATATTAGATAATTTGTTTTATTTTTTATTATATAAATTACATTATATTACATTTTAAAGTAATCTAAAATAAAAAAAATAAAAAATTAATATTTATTAATACTTAAACTTACACTTTTTAAAATAAAGAATTATGCAATAAATGGAATTGCTTTTTATTTTAATTTATACTCAAATGTTATATATATTATTAACTATGATTTAATGTATTTAATTTGTTGAAAACGCATAAACATAATGAAAAAAAATACTGATATATTATACTAAAACAAACATATATTTTATTTTATTATATACATATTTTCTTTGTTTGTAGTGTTTTTTTTTAAAAAAAGAATATCCAAATAAGTAATAGATGAATAATGCACCCACCATGTTTTATAATAAAATATTGAAAATAAAAAAACAATAAAAATTTCTAAAATACAATTATTAATTAGGTTTATAAATGGTTTTTTATATTATAATTAACAAAGAATATTTTTATTTTTTGAGAAATAATTAAAATATATTATAAAATTATAAATATCTTTATTAATAAATGTTTATAAATAATCATCTAGAAAAATTAAATAAGAAAATTAAAATAATTTTTATATTTTATAAAAAAACAAATAAATAAAATAATAATATGCTTTTATATATAAAATACTCTTATTTTGAATAAATGCAAATTTACAGAATATATTTATATATTGTTATTTATAAAATGAGTAATTATTTAGTATTTACTATTTTTAATCTAATAAATTATAATAACGTAAGTTTAATATAATATTTTTATCTTTATTTATATATATTTTTATATCTTTTTGTTGCTATTTTTTTACTTTTTACTTAATTAAATCAATTTACAATTTATAATTCCATATTTATAAAAATTTACCTTTTTGATTAGTTATAAATATAAAAGTTGACTTTAATAGTTCAATAAAAATATGAGTTATAATACTCCACACAAAAAAAAACCAAAAAATTAAATAATATATATATATATATGTAACTTATAAAATAAAAATAAATTGGATATAATTTTTTTCATATCTAATAATAACAAATATTATATAAAATATATATTATAATAATAATAAATAATTTTATATATATTTAATATTTAAATTAAATTAAATTAAATTAAATTAATCTTAAATTTAAATTAATATACTCATTTATTTTTTTATTTATATCTTAATATTTGCTATACAAAAACATACAACATCCAAATAACGATAAAAACAAGCCACAAACTAAAAATATATCAACTTGCATATCTTAATAAATCCAAAGTGATATGCTTGTACATATAATATCTTTTAAAAAATTAGTAATTGGTAACGCTAAACTTGATAATTTAACACAACATAAATTTGTTGAATATTAATGAAAGAATCCTTATTTTTTTAAATAAAAATTATAGGCTTTATTATTTATTTAAAATTACCTAAAATACCAACATAATTTATATATAAGAAAGCTTATATAGGTAATTAATATAGATTTTTGTATGTATAAAATAAATCACCGGTTATAAAAATATAAATAAACAATATTAATAATACATATTTGCAATTTTAGGCAACTTATTCTTTTTTTAAAATAATAATAATAGTAAAAATAATAATTATATATAATAAATTATATTTTTACAATAAGGGGATATGTTTTAATATTATCCAAATTACTTACTTTTATATTAAACCAAAGTAGTAATAGTATTATTTAGGAAACAAAAACCAAATCCTATATAACTTTTTTGAATTTGTTAATAACCCATAATTATAGCGCCAAAACTAGTCATAAAAATCGAAGTTTTTAACAAAGGTTTTCCATAACTTTAATTATTTTTTCTATAAATAAAGCAAATATATATGTAAATAAAATCAAAGTTCTTCTTAGGGTTAAAAACATTGGAATTGGCAAAATATATGTTGCGTTTGTACCAAATAATGTATTTATAGTATATAGTAAAGAATATTGCATCTATTATTTAAATTAAACTTAATTTTATATTTGTATTTGATTATAATTTTAAAGATTTATTAATGTGCAAAATATTAATATTACTAATTGCTAATATCCTATTATCTTAATTTAATTATTTATATATTTTTTTAAGTTAATTATATAAAAAAATAAACTATTTCTAAACTTATATATTGTTAATAAGTCTTTAGTTATTTTAATACAAATTATAATTAGATAGCAATAAATGCATATAGTATACAAGGATATATTGAAAAAAAAATTGTCTTTAATATCATATATTTAATTAATATTCTTTAAAAATAAAATAAATTATAAAAAAATAATAATTATAAATATTATAATAGAAAAATAAATACTAAAATTATATTGATAAATATTTCATTATTTTATCTATTTTTATATAGTATGAAAAATATATATATATATATATATATATATATATATATATATATATATATACCTATACATATACTTATATCAATCTTAGCAAAATATGTTAAAATAATATTTACTTTAAGAAATGCATGATAGCATACTTTTAAATATTAATATAAAAAAAAAGCAAAAATCATAAAATTTAGATTAAATTATATTAAAACTATTGACATATAATTTATTTTTAAGACCTCCTCTTATAAAAAATAACATTGACGATTTTAAAAATGAAAGAACTAAATTTTTTCTAAATAATATTTTTGATTTTGAAATTATTTGCTTATAAGAAGTATTCGCTTTTTTAAATTAAAGAAAAGAAAAAATAATTGAAAATGCTATAAAGTAAGGTTTTCTTTATCATGCTAAATCTCCTTAACCATCTTTTTTTAGTTTTTAATTGGTAGATGGAGGTTTATTAACTCTATCTAAATTTCCTATCGTAAAAAAGATATTTCTTCCTTATAAATACGGAATACTATCTGATAATTTATCTATGAAAGGGGTTCTTTATACGAAAATCTAAATAAATGATACTCATTTACATTTATTTAATACTCATTTATAAGCAAGTTATGTAGGTAACGAATAGAATGTGGTAAAATTAAAAAAAAAAAATTAAAAATAAAAAAATAAAAAAAGAAATAAACTGTAATAACAAGGATTGATTAATTATAATAAATGAAATAATTTATAAATAAAACTCTTGAAAATAATTAATAATTTTAAAACGAATTAATATTAATTTGTGGAGATTTTAATGTAAATGCTCGCAATCATACTTTTCCTATAAATTATTTAGATTCCTATATAGAACTAAAAAATGAAATTTAAAAAAAAACTAAAATTTTTTTTCTGAATATGATTGCTTAATTATTATTTTATCGAATTTCTTTTAAGAAAAAATCCTAGATTGTATCAAAGAAAAATTTGGAGCTGAATCTCCAATTACTTATGGAGATGTTTTTATTGATAAATATCAAAATGAAATTCCGAAAGAAACTACATTAACAGTTAAAGAAGATTTAAAAATTAAATAGTGCTTAGATTATATTATTAAAATTGGTAATTAGGTATGTATTTTAAAGGAAAACGTTTAAAGTGTACAAGTTTAATAATTTTTAATAAAAAATCATTACTTTTCATAGTTGAGTGATCATTATGGACTTTCTATTGATTTGGTTTATAAAAAGAATTGAATTTTTTTTTTATGTATATAAATTTGTATTTTTTTTTTTTTTTTATTAGTTTTTAAATTTAAATTTAAATTTTTTTTCATTATATTATAATTTCTTAATTTTACAATTTATCTAATAACTATTTTTGTTAAAGGAAAAATATAAATATATATTAATTGAAATAATATACCTTATTTTACAAATAATTTAGATTATTAAGGACATTTTAATAAATAGTTTATAATTTATCTAATTCTTCTATTTTTTTAATTAATTCATTATTCTTTTCACATAATTCTAATGTATTTTTTTCAGATTATAGTTTATAAAAATCTTTGGTTTTTTTTCTTTTATTGTTAAACAATATAATATATTATCATAATAATTTTTATTATACATTTCTTCTATTTCTTAAAGCAATACTTAAGTTTTATTTTTTTCGTTTTCTAATTCTTCCTGTATTTATATATGATTAAAATGTTATTATTGTAATTTATTAAGCTTTATTAAAAATAGTATATAAATATATAGATATATTTTGTTTATATTAAAAAATACATCTTAAATAGCTTAATCTCTTTCTTATTTTTTTAATTATAAAAATTCATTGCTTTTTTAAAGTTCGCTTTAAAGAGAAATTATCAAAGCTTCCTTTTAATTAAGTTTGCCTTAAAGTTGTTAATTTATAATTTCTTAATTATATAATTAATCTTTTATATACTATTTTTTTATTTATAAAAATTTAAATAATTTATTTTACTATTATTTATAATTTTAATTATTCCTGTTCTATTTATTTTTCTTTTTATATCACAAATTATTTTGATTTGTTTTGAATTTCTTTATTTTATTTCATTAATTAAAAACTATTTATTTTCTCTTTTTCATTTTCTTCCACTAAATCCTTTATAATTTCATTTAACTCTATAATTTTTTATTACAATTATTTACTTTATGTATTAAAAGCAACTCTTTCAGCTTCTGGAAGTATTTAATTTTATTAAACTTATATAATTTTATATTATAAAAAATCGTTTTTCATATCTTATATTTCTTTAGCTCTTAAATATTCTAGTTTTTCAAGCTTTTATTACCAAATTTTCTAATGATTTTTAGTATTAGAAAATATTTCATTTTATTTTAATAATTTATCTTTTATTTATTTCAAAATTTAATTTTATTCATTTACTTATTCGACTTAAATTTATAAATAATTTATTTTTTCTTATAAATAATTCTTTTCTTTTAAAATTTAATTTAAATCTTCTTCTTTTTCTTTTTTTTCAAAAAAATATGATTTTTTTTTAAAAAAATAAAATAAAATAAAAATACTAGATAATTAAAAATTATTTATAGACGAAATTTCATCATTTTATTAAATTAATTAATTTTCTAATTTTATAATGTTTTCTTAATATTATGAAATTTCAATTTCTTAATCTTTTCTTAAATGTTATATAAGCTTTTCTTTATCAGAAATTGAAGATATTAAAATATCTATCTTATTTTGAAGTTAATTATTAATATTTTCATTGCCTTTTATATTTTATTTATTTAATTATTCTAATATTTTTATTTTTTTAACAATAAATAAAATTAAATAAATATATATTTATCTATATATTTAGTTAAATTACAATTTTCAAATTCTAATATATGAATTTATTTATCTTATTCAATAATTAAATTATTTTATTAATTAGTTTTATATAATGAATCAGTTATGTATACTTCGTCGTTATCTTATTTCTATAATATAATAGGCAATTGATCTGTATTTTATTATTATTCAGCTTTTAAAATTAAGCTTTCTTTATTTTTTTTATAAAGAAGATCTTCGTATTATTACAAGTTTGTTTATAATTAACTAGTTTCTAATATGGATTTTTTTCTTAATTCATTCAATATTGTTTCACTTTTATTAATATTATAAGTTATTTGAATATTTTAGTTTTATTAATTATTATTCTCAAAGTTATCATCATACTATTTGATTTAATTTGATAAATTAATATTTTCCTTATGTATTTAAATTATTTATTATTCATATTATGATATTGTATTTTTAAAATGATTAATCTAATCTATTATTTCTTACTATTTATCATTTTTTTGCTAAATTTATAGATTTAAACTATTTTCCAATTCTTATATTTTATTTTTTTAAAATCCTATTTCGCATTCTGATTCTCTTCTTAAATTTTCTAATTCTTAACTTTTTTCTTATAATGAGTTTCTTATTTTATATATTTATTATTCAAATACTTAGTTTTATTCAACTATTTATTATTTTTCTTGTTTTAATTATTAAATACTATTATCTAATTACTTTTATGTTTATTATATTTGATCTTTTTTTATTTTTATTAATTATATATGATATATAAATATAAATTAAAATATTAAATACTTTAATTCTATTAATAAAAGTTTGTTTTTTATAAAAATTAATTTTCAATGCCTGCATTTTATTCATTTTTTTTATTAATTTCTAATAATAAATCTTTTATTTTTGTTTATAAAATTTAAATTTCTTAAGTAGATATTTCCTTAAGTTAATTAATTACTTTTTCTTTATTTTCTATTAAGAATTAATATTCGATAATATTTTATTAAATTTAATCGTTTTATACTTAAAATTATTCATTTATTTTGATTTACTCTTTTAAATTAACTTCTAATAATTTGCTTTCTTGATTTTTATTTATTAAGGTTTAATATTATTAGATTATTTTATACTTTAATTTTCCATTTCCGATTTCTTATTATTTTTTTAATAATTTGTTTTTATTATTTTTATTTTTGAATATTATTTTAGATTTTTTTATCTAGGTTTATAATTTATTGTCTACTTATTAAATATGGCTTTATTATTTTTCATTATTAACTTTTTTTTTTTTTTTAATTTATATATTTTATTTATTTTTTTAACTTTTAATTTATTTGAATTCTTCATTTATCTATTAATATTTTTCCAATAATTATATATTTTCATTGTTTTATTATATTAATATTTATTCAATCTCTTATATTTAGTTTTTATATTATTCTTGTTGTTTTTCAGATTCACTCTTTAATAATTGTATTTCATTGTCTTTCTAGTTTAAAACATATTCTTTTTGTTTGATCTACTCTTCTTTTTCTTTTATTTTTTATTTTACTTATTAATCTCTTTCTTTTGATTATTCTTCTATATCATTAATAATTAAATATTTTTCTAATTATTTTTTATAAAAATACTTATTTTAATTAATTTTTTTGTTATATACCTTTTAATTTATTAAATTCTTCTAAATCATATTAAAATTTTAATTATAAATTACAATTTTCTTACTGCTTTTATTCTATAGTTTATTCCATTTGTAAAATTTAATCTTTTAATTATTATATTTTTATTTAAGAATCTTTTTTTTATAAGTTAATTTATTCATTTTTTTATTATAATAATATATGCATTTCTTAATTTTTATATTTTGTTTCTAAAATTTAATTCTTAAATTATTCTATTTAAATTTAAGATTCACTTTTAATCTGATTAATTTAATCTTCTTTTTAAATAATTATTTCTAATTTTTAATTTTATCATATATTTATTATATTTTAAAAATTTACCTTCTAATATTTTTTATTGTTATTATTGAATTATTAAATCTTATTCTAATTTTTCATTCATTTAATAACTTTACTTTAATAATTATTTCATTTATGATATTTAATCATATATTTATTCTTTTTGTTTAATTTATAATTCTTATAGCTCATGCTCATCTTTTTTATTAATAATTTATTAATAATCTTGAAAAATGTAATTAAGTTTATAAAATATAAAAATATAAAAAAATTAATTACAATTTAGTTTTTATATATCTTCATTTTTTTATAAAAGTAAATTTTCATAATCTTAACATTTAATATTTAACTTATTAGTTAAATCTTATATTTACTATTAATTTTAATCAATTTATTTACCAAAATCAATTTTTAAAAAAGAAATTTATTAATCTTTTTAAGCTTAGTATAGTTAAGGAAGTTCTTAAATTTTTTCTTATAATTCATCATTAAATTTAATCAATATATCTTTATCTTATAATGTTTAATAAATTTATTAATTTTATTCATGAATTAATATATTTAACTATTTTAATTAATCTTAATATTTTTTATATAAAAAAATAAAAAATATTAAAAAAATATATATATATATAAAAACCTTTTAAATTTTATTCAAGGTTTTCCTTTTCTTCAATTTATTAAAACAAATTTATATTTATTTAATTTAATTCATTAAATTATATTTCCTTTTCATTTAAATTTTCTTTAAATTATTAAACTTCATTAATATATTTTGATTGCTAATTATTAAATTCAATTTAATTTTTTTATATTGTTTAAATTAAATTTTCAATTTAATTTTAATATTAAATATCGATTTATTATTATTAATTCTTTTCTTATTCTTAAATTAATTATTTTAAATCTTATATTATCAATTCTAATTATTATATTTAATTATCTTTATTTTTAATAATTTAAGTAAACTCATCTATTTAAAATTAAAAAGATGTTAATTAATTATTATTTTATTTATTTGTCCCTTTTAATTTTTTAATTTTTAATTAATATTTATTTATAATATCTTCAGAATTATTAATTTATGTATTTAATTCTTTTCTTATATTAAGATTTTCTATTTATTATTTATTTAATTAATTATTTAAATTTTCTATTTCAACTTTTAACTAAATAATTTAATTAATATATTCATTTTTTAGTTCTTCTATTTAGTTTTCTTTTTCCTGAATTGTTTTAACGAATTCTAATTTATCTTATTAAATTTGTTCATTTTTATATTTTAATTAAATATAATTATCTTATATTAATAAATAATCATTTTCTTAATTTTCTTTTAAATGTTTAATATAATATTATTTATTAAAAATAAATTACATAAATTATTTTCTATTTGCTCTATAT